CAGTGTCCATCTTGATGGGTACAACTATAGATCAGTAGCCATACCTCAGTTTGTTAAAGTGATGTTTGATAAAGGAGTCATTATGATTAGAGATGTATCAGCACTGGATTCACTAATAAAACTGTACAGACCTTCTTTCTTCAATCAATGACATGGAGAGAAGTAAACTCACTGATACTAATAGTACCATTACAATACCAGTACAAGAAACAATGGGGGATATAGCTACTGGTCAAACTGAGACAAAGAAGAGTAAGTTTGTATGTTAGTACTGACCAAACACCTCAATACATTATCTGATACATATACATGTACTTATGTTGGGTAGAAAGTTTGAGCTGATTCTGATCAAATTTAAAGTTGCTCCAAAATCAGACAAAAGTCCCTGTACTATAGTATAGTACACGGTCTCGGGCCAAATTTTGCCAAAAATAAAAAGGAGATAATTCTTAATTTTTATGACATTTTCTGATGCATATACATGTTCTTATGTTATGTAGAAAGTTTGAGCTAATTCCGATCAAATTTGGATTTTTTACGAATTTTTAAAGTTTCTCCAAAATCGGACAAAAGTCCCTGTACTATAGTACATGGTCTTGGGCCAAATTTTGCCAAAAATAAAAGTTAGAGAATTCTCCATTTTTATTGCATTTTCTGATGCATATAAATGTACTTATGTTGCGTAGAAAGTTTGGGCTGGTTCCGATCAAATTTGGATTTTTTACAAATTTTTAAAGTTGCTTCAAAATCAGGCCAAAGTCCCTGTACTATAGTACAGTGTAGGAGGGAACTGAGCCCTTAAATAAACATTTTTTTACAAAATAGATATAACACAGGGATAAATAGTAGGTTAATAAATGAGATAATAATAACGGAAATAAGTGATAGAAAAATAATAAAAATAAAAATTCCTTCAATTCACACATTTCCTCCTCTACTTCCAAGGGGAAGAACTTCTCACCACTACAAACTACAGTACAGGGACTTTGGCCCAATTTTGGAGCAACTTTAAAAATTTGTAAAAAATCTAAATTTGATTGGAACCAGCAGTAAAGTGGCTTTTAAACTCAATGACAAGATACATAATAGTAATGATCCTAATGCCTGTCTACTTACCATATGTGAGATGCTTGAATCTGAAGATGTAGACAATGATATCAGCCAAGACTCAATGTCATTGGAGAAGGAGGTGGTGATGCATACAGACACTTGAGGAAGCATGGCTAGAGGGAGAAGATAATGTAACTAGTAGAACATGGCAGACTTTGATAGATGCTGTGAAGGAAACAGGAGACCATGCAGCTGCTGAAAGGATACCTGATAAACTGAAATCCCTTTATGATATTACACTTTAATAATGATTATGAGTTAAAATGATTCAGCTAGTAGATAACTGTTATCATTCAAGTAACAACAGGATAGGAGAAGGGCTGTCAGGTTTGTTCTACTACACAAGAAATGGAAAGGATCACACTACTAAGTCTACTATATAAACTCTATTGGTAAGTTAATATAAAAATAACACAGCAGTAGTGTATCCACCCACTTTATAACTGTTGTCTGTGTGTTCAGTAATGAGCTTCATTCCAACCCTCTTGCTGTTCTCCTTACAATTAATTTACCTCGCAGAAGGTGAGTGCTTAATTAACTCTGTAACTGATGTGCTTTACTCTGACATAAAGTAACTCTATAACAGTATAGTATATATATAGCCCTGTGACACATATTGTAATGCTGTTGTCATCAGGCCTAGGGGCAACAACAAGTTCATGTAAAAGATGAACCAATTAAACTAACTTATGACATAAAAGTAGACTATAGTGGTAGATCTAATATGCCAAAGCTAGTGTAATCCAATTTTTGTGGATTTCTTATCTCAATTGCTAAATAAAAGCCACAGTAAAAATTTCCAAATATAGCTACAATAGTGCAAAGGTGTAGTATTTATGGTCATTCAATGTTAGTTCTCTATATTAATTTTGTGAACTTTTAGGGTTGAACATTCGTGATTTAGGAGATGTGATACAAAAGTTAGAGGATGCACACTTTAGAAAAGCAGATTGGGATAAATTAGGCATAAGCCTTGGTCTGAATAAAAATACACTGGATGTGATTAGTGCAAATGAAAGAGGTGACGTTGATAGGTGTTTTACTGAATGCCTTGTAAAGTGGCTGAGCAGAGCTGATGATGTTGATAGCAAATGTAACGGAAAGCCAAGTTACAGTTCACTCGCTGATGCTCTTGACCGTATGGGAAATAACAAAAACCAAGCTGACTATATAAGTGAGTGCAAAACAAGATTGTTATCTTACCTAGCATATTTATTGTCATATTGCACAATTGTAATTGAAATAATAAATCAATAACAATTCAACTAGCAGCAATTTTATTTGCCATTTAATAGATTATTGACAATACTTAATATTAAAGTAGCATAACTGGTACTGCTATGCATAAAATTTAAAATTTATTAATTGTATATGTAAATTTACAGTATATTTTACTATTTTTAGGAGGTTTATCACAAGGAAAGAAACCAGCTAAAAGTATGACTAAATGGAACTGTAACTGGTAAATTTAACTATTCTCTAATCTAGGGCAGAAACTTGATCCCGGCAGCACTAAGAAATGTGGTTCTGATTACAAATACAATGGTAGTATAACCTGTTGAAATGATTTTATTCCTGTAAACTTAAGAGGTTCTCTACTTAGGCTGAAAACAATAAATAAATTTTGTGTTCAATGAAACTTATTAAACCCTAATTAGCTATTCAAATACAGCTTCAAAAGTCCCTAAAACAGCTCTTTACTATAGTTGTTGCTACAGTTGTAGAATCCATACAACACACAGCCACAATAGATATGACAATTCCTCCAGATAGCACAGCTGCTACTCATAAATCCACATAATGAAAACTTTTTATAGTCTGATCCTATACTTATGTAGTAGTCAGGTAGAGTATGAAGGAGGATTTACAATATGACATTAGGCCAGTGTACTATCAATTTTTAATCAAAAGCGTGTGCGATTTGACCTTTTCATGCATGCTTTCCGCTAGAACAGAACCAGATTCTATTCCAGCGTCAACATAACGTCAGGACTAGCATAATATTGTAAATCCGCCTTTACGCTAGTCCTGACGTTACGTTGACACAGGAGTTGAATTTGGTTTAACTCTAGCATATAGCATGCATAAAAAGGTCAAATCACCCACCCTTTTGATTAAAAATTGACGGTACATTGGCCTAGCGTCATATTGTAAATCCGCCTTTATATTTATGGCATTCTAGATGGTGAATCTGAAGCATGTGCAGCTGATGAGGAAACTGATGGACCTCCACAAGGTAACCAATACAGTAATATTTTACACACAACAATAGTTTATTGCATAATTATAATACTTTATTCCTTTTATTACAGTAATTGTAATAGTTTCTTAATAGTCTATACATACATGCATAATTATACTCACAAAAAAATTCAGATCATGCTTATGTAGTTTGTAAGCTGGCTTATAGTTGGCTGTAATATTAAGTTGCAAAACAAGGAGCTTAGCAACTTAATA